TATGAAAATGGTTGTATTATCACACCTATATGTATTATAATTACATATAGGTGTGATAATACAACCATTTTCATATTTATTATGCTTTAAAACAATATGTATACAAAATACTCCATTTCATCTTACCTTCCAAATACTACTGACGAATTACATATTTCGATGACATCATGACATCTCTGTATGAACGTATCAATATGATTAAATACTAATTGTCTATTTACATCCCAGACACTATTCGATTTAATGAGCGCAGTTATCTTTATAACCTGCCAAAGATTTTATCAAAAAGATGCACAAATTACAAGATATTATAAGAATTATACTACCAATATTTTATCCATTTTTTCAAAATAAATTATCTATTAAGCTTATAACTTGTAATATGTATTATTCGTTTTATCCAATCACTGGATATTTACTAAAGTGGATAATTTGTTAATTATTTAAAGTATTTTATGTTTATACAAAGATTGTGAACTAATCGTCTTGTGTTTGATGGAAACTTGATAAAATTGACCACTAATATACAAAATTTAAATACCTTATTATATATAGTTTTATATGTTTGACAACAACAAATACATTTTTGAAGTATGTTTATACCATTTTCCGCGTTGCCTTCTAATATCTCTTGTACATTGACATAATTTTTACATTGATATACAATCTGTGTACTGATAGCTTCACAAAGTATCTCTATGTTGCTTCTAAGAAAAATAATAACACATTTATTTATTCTGTTGTTTAATCTGCAAATAACTTTCAATTTTAAGATTAATGGAGGATTAAGAGTCAAGTGTGATAATTAATAATCAAGCTTCAAATGTTTTAATATGATGTGTGTGTGTGTGTATTAAATAAAGTATGAGTAATAAAAAATAATATATGTGATAAATCGTACGATATATTATAAAACGGTGATTCAGTCCAAATAAATAATATCAAAAACAATATTCTCGTTACAGGTTTTTCAATTTCGTCCGGACACTTCAGGTCATTACAAGCCTCTGATAAAACATTCAAATACGTTATATTGGACGCAGCTTGCTCTAACCCTTCATGAAGCTGTAATATTAAAAGTCGAAGGGAATCAACACTCGGCGAATAAGCGTTCTCCAATAGATGCAATATCGATTGAATTTTTGTATTTGAAACCTGATCGTACAAACAGTTCAAATTAAAATCTGCAAATAAAACATTCTATGTATATTGTTATTTAGAAATGAAAAGATCTAAAAGTTTAGATCAACATAAATAGCAGTTAATCGTTTGCGATTCACATAAAATTGTAAAAATATTCGAAATTAACATCTCGCTATCCAACGTTGTGATTCGTTATATATGGTTCGTTCACTTTTGCACATGGAAGTGCTCGCCAATATTTCTCGTATTTGTTTAATCCAATATCGCACAATCCCTTCGAATCTGTCAATCAGTGCCTTTTCCGATTCCCGCATCTCATTAGATATATGCTGCATATTTGTCTCAAGTAAATTCAATCTCTTGTCTATTGACAGTGTCGCTGTATCAGCTATATTATCTTCCGGAATATATAATTTGGTCAAATTTATCGACTTGTAAACCCATTCGGTTAAGTACATTAGGAAATTATGTAGATTGAAGAACAAATCATTTCTAATAACTGGCCTCATTAAGGAAAGGAAAATGTGACTTGTAGAATCAACATTAAAAGATCAAACTTAAGAAGTAATGATGATTTCGAAATTCAATTTGAATTTCAAAATATTGATGATGATTTCAAAATTCAATTTGAATTTCCTTATCTTTATGACTAAGACAAAAATATCCTTATGACTAAGAATATCAATTATCTATTATCTATTAATTTTGATTTTTCTAAAGAGAGCTATAACAATAGAGGGACTGTTATTTTTTAAATACATATACTGTTGTGATATAACTAAGATAAGAAAAAAAGATACTTTCTGGCCATTCGTCACTGTCGCGTGCGATGGTTATATACATATTTTCCATTACTTTCAACACGCACATCATTGCATTACGATTGATATTACCAAAGACAACTGTAGCGTGAAAATTGTCGATGGTAAATACATGCCATGGAATTCGCAAAAAATATATGAAATCACTTTGATTATTCTCTGGAATGCTTAATTGCACTTTCAGTGTATCAACTTGGAAATATATACATAATAATGTGCAAGCAGGATTCTCGAAATATTCACGAATAAGCATACAACATTCCTCTTTCCAATCTGAATCTTTAATAAAAGGAAGAATTGCGAGATCTTTTACAAAACATATCTGAAATAACATGCTCCAATAATATTGATAGACATCTTTATATGATCTTAAATAATATTGAAGATACGAAGAATCCTTCCAATTTTCAATATAAAAAAATAAAATATAAACATGACAAAGCTAATATACGTATACATTTAATTCAATTTAGAAGAATAACCAACTAACCAACTTATCTAAATCCTGTTTATTAAAGATTGGTTTAATCGTTTCGGAAGAAAGCTCCTCTTTGGTTTCAAGACTTTCTGAAACATTAAAAAAAAAAAGCATACGTGCGATATTGCACATTTATGTATATACATATGTATGTAATTCACTGATCAATTCAGCGAGCATGTAAATATTTTCAAAAAAAGAAACAAATTTGGAAAAAACACCTTGTCCACCAAAATCTTCCTCGTCCGTATCCATATCCAAGAAATCTCGATGAGAATCCAACACTGATTTCTCCGTTTTCTTTGTTTTCTCCATATCTCACGTTGATATTCGTTAAATATGTGATAAACAATCTGACAATATGAATATTTTATACAATGATTACGATGACGATTAATTATTAATCGATACAGATAATTAACAACTGTCTAATGATTGTAACGTGCTGTGATGTACTCGTGATGTGTGGCTAAGCAACGTATCGTGCGTATCGATAAAACGAAATGTCTAAATGATAACTGCAAACTCTATCAGATATGCCATCCTTTGTAACAATCCCTAATTATATAATAATCACAACCATAAACAATAAAAAATTGTTCGTAATATTTTTATAAAGTTGTTTAGAAGAAAGAGAGGAAAGTTGAAATCTGTCTTCTTCTTTTTCTTCCTCTTCTTATTCCTGCAAAATTGAAATTTGTCAATTGATAAGTGATGAGAATGCGTAAGCGTAAAATGTGTAACCAAAGCAACAGTCATGGTGCGCGGTATAAATAGTTTAGTGAGTGAGAAGCATCGGAAACGACTGCGGAGCATCACGTTCCGAATATGCTTGGCGAGACATATAAATTCATTTTTCGCGCGAGATTGCCTTTAAGGCCGGCTGCAGACAGGACGCGACAATGCGGTAACGCGATAGCTAATCACCGTATTGTTTTCTGATATACAATTTCGTTACGTTATATTAGAAAACAAGACGGTGATTGGCTACCGCGTTGCCGCGTCGTCGCTTTGCGCGTCCTATGTGCAGCCAGTCTAAGGATGCCGTCCTATGGGCACGGAAAATGGAATCGGTGAAATGTGAATATAATTAATACAATTAATACAATTAATTGAATTGAAATGATGAAAAATTATCAAACTGAAAAAAAATAAAGTTAGAATGGATTCCGTTTCTTGAAAAATATACTCCATGGGAAATCAGGATGTTTAAAATCGGAATGAAAAGCTAATTGAAATTTTCGGAACGATGCTGATTGACTGTTCCTATCATTTTATCTTTCCGATTCCGTTCCGATTCCGTTTTCCGTGCCCATAGGACAGCACTTTGAGGATGCGTCCCCATGAAGAAGGAAATAATGGAATGGAATAGTAACGAAAAGGAACATGGTGAGGGGGCTAACCAATCAAAATGATTCCGTTCCGTTTTTTCATGGCTGGGTTCCCCATGGCAAACATTTCACGGAACGGATTTATTACAGAATACGTGCATTTAACCTGTTAATCGTTGGACGGCCCGATAATATAAAGCCACTTTAACCGTTTTCTTCACCTGAAAAGACATCCAAAAAAAGCAATTTTCGCACGATATGGTAATATAATATTTTATATATATATATAAAACAATATTATATTTAAATAAAAATTTAATTTTACCAAGCTTTGTAACAAAACAATACAATACAGCAAACAATAACAAACAATACAACAAAGTAAGTTTGTTGTACCAAAGCAAAAGCTATCCTAAAATGTTTTACACTAATCTTAATAAGATAAACAAATTAAAGTACTTTAAATGTTTTTGCTTTTGGTACAATAAATTTAAGGTTTTACATCCCGATTAAAGTCAAAATAACGTTGGCGCAACCGAGTCTTAGTTTAGATAAAATATTTTAATATCATAATATTTAATATTACATCACATATATATATATATAATATTATATATCGTGCAAAAATTGCTTTTTTTTGGATGTTTTCTCAGGTGAAGAGAAGTGTTAAAATGACTTTACGTCAGGCTGTCTAAGTGTCGGTCCACAATAGGCGATTTAAGAAGTAAGAAGTAAGAAATTGATCAATTATAATCGAATATGAAAAGAATAATCGACTATGATTGGTCAATTTCTT